GCGCCGCCGCGCTTCCCAAGCGGCGCACTATCCAGTGCGCCACCGGGCCGGCCCACTACAAAGTTTATTTCTACAAAACTCTGAGAGTCCAGGGTTTGATCCCTATACTAGCCAGCCAACTCTGCACCCCCAAAAAATGACACAAAAAACCTCTGGTTCCCAACAGCCTTAATACACCACATGTTTCAGATGTCGGTATTTCTCCATCATGCTGTTGTATCCATTCAGCTCCTCCTTAAAATATGTGAAGCTGAATGACACAAGGAGGTCAAAGCCAGAACCTCTTCTTAAAGGAATAGAAAGGATGGGAAAGTTCATAAACCAGTGATGCTTGTCCTTATTCTCAAAAGGCATCCTGACAAACATAGTCATGTATATTAAATAGCTTTCATAGACTCAAAAGTACTGCAACTTTTAATGAAAATAAATGGGATGGAGTGGAGTTAGGGGGATTCATATGTCCTTCCATTATGCTCTGTTTCTCTTTTTCTGACATTTATGTCCTTTGAAATTCACGTGTCTTACTTTAATTTAATGACATTGACACTTTGGGAGGGAGTTGAACTACCATGACACAAACTATTACCACTTACAAACACTATGTAAGAAAGATTCTCACTATGTAAGAGGAGCAATAAAAAGAGCTTAAAGCATGTGTAAAAAGCAAACATTTTTCATAATAACTAATTTAAAATTAATGTGTGTCCTTCATCAACATAAATGATTAATTATTTCTTTCTGTCTACTACATTTATGATTGGATTGTTGTTGTTTTTCAAGTTCTTTGAGGTGTAGTGTTAGGTTTTTTATGTGAAGTCTGTCTGTTCTTTTAATGTAAGCATTTATTGCAATAAATTTGCCTCTTAGTACTGTTTTTGCAGTATCCCACGGGTTTTGGTATGATATATCTTTATTTTCATGAGCTTCAAGAAATTTCTTCTTGGACCCATAGGTAATTCAGGAACCTATTGTTTAGTTTCTATGTATTTGTATAGTTTCCAGAGTTTTGCTTGTTATTAATTTCCAGTTTTGGTCCATTGTGGTCTGAAAAGATACTTGGAACGATTTCAATTTTTAAAAATTTGCTGAGACTAGATTTGTGACCTAATATGTGGTCTATCCTGGAGAATGTTCCATGTGCTGATGAGAGAAAAGTATATTCTTTAGTTGTTGAGTGAAATGTTGTATGGATACCTGCCAGGTCCAGATGGTCTAAGGTATAGTTTAAATCCTATGTCTCTGTTGATTTGTTGCCTGGAAGATCTGCCCATACTGAAAGGGGGTGTTCAGGTCACCCACTATTAACATATTAGGGCCTATTTCTTTCTTTAGGTCTAAGAGTATTTGCTTTATATATCTGCATGCTCCAGTATTGGGTGCATACATATTTATGATTGTTATGTCTACTAGCTGGATAGATCTTTTCATCATTATATAGTGGCCTTCTTTGTCTTTTTTTATGTTTTTTGGTTTAAAGTCTATTTTAGCCAATATAAGAATAGCCACTCCTGCTTGCTTTTTGTTTTCATTTGCATGGTATATTTTTTCTTATCCCTTCACTTTTAGTCTTTGTGTGTCTCTATAGGTGAGATAGGTCTTTTGAAGACAGCATGTACTTGGGTCTAGCTTTTTAATCCAATCCGTCAATCTGTGTCTTTTGAATGGGGAATTTAATCCGTTCACATTTAGGGTAGTTATTGACAGGTATTGTTTAATTCCTATCATTTAATTGCTTTTTGTTTAGATGATTTGAATATCTTTTGATCATTACTTCCCCTTTTGTTTCTCTTTTTCAATGCTAGTTGGAAATTTGAGGTGGTATGATTTAGCTTCTTTTTGTTTCTCACTGGCATTTTTGTTTTAATGGTGGGTTTTGCTCTTTCTTGTGTATATGCAACAGTGATCCTCATTTTTCAGATTACAGATGAAGGACTCCCTTCAGAATTTCTTACGGTGCTGGTCATATGGTGGTGAATTCCCATGGTTTTTGTTTGTCTGGGAAATGCACTATTTCTCCCTCATTTCTGAAGGAAAGCCTTGAAAGAAATAATTAAGATCAGAGCAGAGCTAAATGAAATAGAGACCCAAAAAATGATAGAAAAGAACAACAAAACACAAAGTTGGTTTTTCAAGAAGAGAAATAAAATAGACATTTAGAGAGACATTACAACCAATACCACAGAAATACAAAGAATCATTACATATTTTTATAAACAACTATATGACAACAAATATGAAAACCTGGAAGATATGGATAAGTTTCTGGACACATATAAACTACTCAGACTGAACCAAGAAGAGACATAAAACCTGAACAGACCTATAACAAGCAATGAGATTGAAGTGGCAATCAGCAATCTTCCAATAAAGAAAAGCCCGGGTCCAGATGGCTTTATAGGTGAATTGTACTGAACCTTTAAAGAGGAATTAATACCAATTCTCCTCAAACTATTCCAAAAGATTAAAACAGAAGCCATTCTTCCAAACTCATTCTATGAGGCCAACGTAACTCTGATACCAAAACCAGATAATGACACAACATAAAAAGAAAATTACAGGCCAATATTCTTGATGAACATAGATGCAAAAATCCTCAGCAAAATATTAGCAATCAGAATACAGCAACACATCAAAAAAATTATACACCGTGATCAAGTGGGATTCATTCCAGGATGCAAGGATGGTTCAACATATGAAAGTGAGTAAATGTGATACATCACATCAATAAAATCAAGGACAAAAAATATATGATTATCTCAATAGATGCTGAGAAAGCATTTGACAAAATTCAACATCCCTTCATGATAAAGACTCTCAACCAATTAGGTATAGAAGGAAAGTATCTCAACATAGTAAAAGCCATGTATGACAAGCCCACTGCCAGTATCATTCTGAATGGCAAAAAACTGAAGGCTTTTCCCTTAAGAACAGGAACAAGGCAAGGGTGCCCACTCTCACCACTTCTAGTTAACATACTACTGGAAATACTAGTCAGAGCAATCAGGCAAGAGAAAGAAATAAAGGGAATCCAGATTGGAAAAGATGAAGTCAAAG